GGAGCGACACGTTCACGATCGCCATTCAAGACAAAATGATCAACGTAACCTCCGTTCGTGCTTTTTAGATGGCACAGACAGCTTTTTCCCACCTAGAAATTGCATGGTTGCCAACTCTCAAAAATGTATGTATCGTCGTAAGTTGTATATACAGGGTGGAACCTCTCATTATGTTTTCACTTCGGCATGTAGCTCTGCAGGGGGGAAAAGGTAAATGACACAAAAAAGGCAGATTCGTACACAAGGAATTGAAGCCGCTAATCAGTCTAAATGAGTTCAAACATTCATATTAAAATTAATAACTGGCCAATCTCAAATAAATCAAATTAGGTATATCATTTACATTGAAAGCAAATAACACCAAATTCAAGACTCACTTACACCTGAGTTACAAACAGCTAGGCAACATCATACAATATAAATAATTTCAATTAAAACTATGTACATTAACGCTTTCAAAATGGATATTGGCACAAATTAGAACAAATTGAATTTAACTCAATGGATGCAGAAAGCAAAGTGATCTTGGCAAAGCTAATTCAACACCACATCTTCTTCCTATACACACTGTAATGATCTTAGCCTCCTACTATCATGGCGGCTAACGCCAACTTCAAGTCACATCGGGATATTCGACCATATTCTGTAGTAGCGGGAATGCCAAACGAACATGGCTGCCTGTTTGAATATTCTCGCTTAAGTTTCCCGCGAGAATCTGTCACTCGGGGCCACTCCGAGTGCTATAAGATCGTGATCGTCATGTAGGACACCTACGTTGTGTAATAACTGGGTTCTCAGCAGGCACTGAGGGCGGTTTATGGATAAGGAAACCAAAAGCAATAGCTGATTAAGTTTACTTTTTGGCCCTCTCGAAACCGGGTTAACTACTACAAACACGCTATGAGTAACCAAAATGGAATCGAGCCATTCCCCAGGTATTACAACACATACATATCAGACAAAACTAAGAGATGTTAAATATTCCTCGCCGGGCAGGAACGGGTGAAAATGTTAGTGTTAAGGTTCACCAAGGGCCGTATAAACTTGAATAACTCGATCCCCTCTAAACAAGCACACGTCCCTCTTGATTACTGACAGCCCAAAATAAGCAAATATAATGATATGCAATGCAATAATCGAGAGTGACAAGATACAACCCTACCGACAATGAAACATGATTGCCAATACCAACAAAAGTTACACATTAACAGGTACAAGTGATTGAATTCAGTAAGTACATAAGTGTAAAGGGTTACAATCTGCATTCAAGTTACACACATTTATAGATTAATTGAATAAAGCAAATACCTCACCTGATATAAAAAGCAAAAGCACACAGCAATGATTAAGGTATAATAAAATATTTCAAGATAAGCCGTACTTTACACTTCAGGCGGTTACAAGAAAAAGACCATGAACACACATGTTAAATCGTATTTATTGACGGACCCAAAAAGGAAAAGGGAAAAAGACCAACGTGTTTCATTCCTCCGGCACCCCTGACTACAGGGATACCGGAGGCGTGCTGCTCAGGGCTTCCTGGCCCTCTTCAGCCAGAGAACGGGATTGAAAGGATGGGTAAAGTTGGGGATGGGAACGAAAGGAACGGAGTTAGGGTGCTGAGGGGGAGAGTACTGCTCCAGCATTCGCCTCGTAGATTTCAACATAATGCTAGCATTATGCGAAGCTACGTATGTCTGAGGAAAACCCCCTGACAAAACCCCAGACAGAGCAGTCGGCAGCGGGATTCGAACCCACGACCTCCCGAATAGCATAGGTGAGCGCAACCACTGCGCCACGCGCCTCGGTGACGGACCCAAGCCACGCGGTAATTTGATCTAACGCCCCTAAAAACCACCCGAAAATCCCCCATTCCCTGCATTTCACGCATTTTTAGGAAAAAACTGGACTGCAGGTGTTTGAAATGGTAAACACATGTGGTCTTCCGAGAAATTCCATCCGCCTCATCTTCGCTCTTTCCCTTTTCTGTAATCCCACCAGATTTCGGTTGGCAGCTTTCGTAACCAACATGATGTATAGGGTGCTTCGTATCGACAATCATATTCACAGGACGTTGTTAAGGTTGGGGCATCTCAACACTAACATTGTTTTCAAATGCTGACATCGAAAACTATTATATTGTGAAACAGCCCTCATTGTTTCATACTCTTTCCTCGAGACTTAGTGATTGTTCACAATGGATATAAGCATAACAAAAACATAACAGATACATAATTCATAATGTTGAATAGTAGCACACCAACGTACCTATTTGTTCACAATGATTACATAATTTTTGTTTTTTTGTAAATGTCCGCGTATCTTTTATGTCATACCGAAACGGTACATAAAAAATACATAAAGTTGGGTCGGTTTCAACTTTACGTAAGTTTTATGAAAAATCTAGTGGAATTAGGTGTATTTCTGTTGGGCACAAAGATGCAGCACTGCGCTGTTGGTTTGACATTTCAGTTACTGCGTCTAACATCTGCAAACATAATCTGGTTATTTTTAAATTGGTAGGTACATAGTTTTTGGCGCATTATTTCATAGTTTGGGGTGGTGTGGTCGTTCGTGGGTTGTTCTTGGATTATATCCAACATGACGTGGAAAACATAGACGTCGAGTTACTAATTAGTTTGGTGCGATTACAACCCCATTTGTTTAATAAAGGTAACAAAAGACATAAGGTTAATAGGTCACAACCGCGTCTATAATTATTGACCGCTGTGAATAAGGTGATCGAATAATGCTGGAGTCATCCTGGTGTGTGAAAAAAACCATTGTTCATCATGCAGCTTCATTTCTAGACACAATCGCTTAAATTCTCCTCTTTTCTCTCGGTCTCGATTTATAGGTCTGACCCACCAACGCCGTTTTTGTTTGGTAACAACTTTGTCTCTCTGTCTTCTTAACCGCAAAAGCAATAAATCCGATGAAATTTCCATCTTAGTGACACACACATATACACCACAAATAATATTGCTATGTTCTTGACGTTTTGCCGGGTTTAAATTTCGGATTTGCGCCTACGCAGATAATTACAATCTTACGGTCACTGTGAACACTTTCTCCACCTGCGTAAAATTATATCTTATGTCAATATTATGTTTTATGTATCTGTTATGTTTTTGTTACGCTTATGTCCATTGTGAACAAGCACTTAAGGATCGCATAATCACGAAAATGAAAAATTAAACAAACTTTGGCTCCGAAAATATGGCCGCCCCAGGCTTCAACGCGCAGTATTGCCCTGATGAGATATTATCAGTCCCCTTTCTTTTGTAGTCTAAGGTTTCACTCGCAAATACTTTCGAACGGCGTCTCTATATATGCCAACGGTACTTGTCGCTTGAACTATGTCTCTAGGTACGCCAACGGTACTGGTCGTTTGAAATTTGAAATCGGACATGTCAGTGTCATTTGAATTTTTGGTCAGGGGGTGATCACATGTCTACAGTATTAATTTCCTACTTCTTCCTTGACCACATTTCAAAATTTCAAGTTCATATCTTTTAAAACACCAAATATTAGTCCATTTAAGGTTTTCGCGTGGACACCCTGTATATTGGAATATCTAAATTAAATTAATATATTGAGATGCCGCAACCTTAACAACATCCTGTGAAGATGATTGTCGATACGAAGCACCCTATACATCATGTTAGTTACACAAGCTGCCATTCGAAATCTGGTGGGATTACAGAAAAGGGAAAGAGAGCGAAGATGAGACGGATGGAATTTCTCGGAAGACCACATGTGTTTACAATTTCAAACACCTGCAGTCCAGTTTTTCCCTAGAAATGCGTGAAATGCAGGGAATGGGCGATTTTGGGGTGGTTTTTAGGGATGTTAGGAGATCAAGTTACAGCGTCGCTTGGGGTAGTCAATAAATACGATTTAACATGTGTGTTCATGGTCTTTTTCTTGTAACCCGCTTAAGTGTAAAGTACGGCTTATCTGAAACATTTTGTTACACCTTAATCATTACTTTGTGCTTTTGTTTTTTTTTATATCAGGTGGAGGTATTTGCTTTATTCAATTAATCTATAAATGTGTTTAACTTGAATGCAGGTTGTAACCCTTTACTTGTGTACTTACTGGATTCAATCACTTGTAAATGTGTAACCTTTGTTAGTATTGGCAATCATGTTTAATTGTCGGTAGGGCTGTATCTGTATTGTACATATTTGTACGTGTCCCCTTATTTGTGTATCGTGCTTTTTAGCCACTCTCGATTATTTCATTGCATTCCATTATATGTGTTTATTTGGGCTGTGAGTAATCAAGAGGGAAGTGTGTTTGTTTAGAGGGGATCGAGTTATTCAAGTTTATACGGGCCTTGGTGAACCTAACACTAACATTTTCACTCATTCCGAAGCCCAACAACTTTAGCCCACGTCTACAGGCACCACACTGGGCCTACCGCCCGGCGCGGCATATTTAATGTATCTTAGTTTTGTCTGATGTGTGTGTTGTAATACCTGGGGATGACTCGATTCCATTTTGGTTACTTATAGCGTGTATGTAGTATTTACCCCGGTTTCGACAGGGCTCAAAAGTGCTGTACTTTAGATGTTAGCTGTAGGCTTTGTTCATTATAGGACTACTCCGAATTAGGTTTTCCTGCAGTTTAGCTAATTCGTAAGGTAAATGCCGGAGTAGTATAGAACCCTCTGCAGGGGCGTCGTATTGGAATTGGTGTCAGCTTCAATATAATCTTAATCAGCTATTGCTTTTGGTGTTCCTTACCCATAAAACGCCCTCAGTGCCTGCTGAGAACCCAGTTATTACACAACGTAGGTGTCCTACAATGACGATCACGATTAGTGCACTCGGAGTGGTCCCCGAGTGACAGATTCTCGCGGGAAATAGGCAGCCATGTTAGTTTGGCATTCCCGCTACTACAGATTCCGGTGTGACTTGAAGTTGGCGTTAGCCCGCCAAGATAGTAGGAGGCTAAGATCATTACCAATATGAAAATAAAATATAATAAAAAAAATTAATAGATTGAAAAATACAACAAAATGAAAGCTCTGTATATCTCGAGGCAACGCTCACAGGCATGTTTTGAATATTTTTTTCCTTATGAACGAAAATACTAAAATAATGATAAGATAAGGAGATAATTATTAGCTATAGTTAAGATATGTACCTATCTAATCTGTTAAACCTCTTGAGGCGTAGGTATAAATGTGTGTGCAAGCTGCCTCATAGACGAATATTCTCACCATGTATTTTAAACTTGTATTGGTTTCAGTTGTTCTCGTGTGTGTAGGTGTTGTCTCAGGTATGTAACGACACGTTTATATTTTATGCACGAACGGTCTCTAAATTGGAGGCCTTCATTTCTTGCCAGTTAAGCATCCACGACCCAGACAACACAAACATATCTTATGGACAGCCATTTGCAATACAAAAATGGACACGTGTTATATCCTATGAATGTCCACTTTTGGATATGGTACATAAAATGGATGTCCATAGTATAAATAAATTTTTATTCGTGCACTTACTCTAAAACAAAAAAAGACAATTTTCAAAAAAATTAAGAAATCTAATATATTACTTCATAACTTCATGCCTTTCTTTAGTTCCTCGCAGCCATTTTTTATTGCCTCTTCGGTTGTCTTGTCACTTTTTAAGGTTTAAGATTTAAAATACTTGTCATACCTACAAAAAGCAAACCAAAACATCAAGGAACCACAATAATTAATTAAACGATCGACCGCGTGTGTCAACAGTAAAACGTTCATCCAGCGAAATGCTCTTGTCGTTGGTATGGATATCCAAAATTGGACGATGAATGAAAATGCTATGGATAGTTGTATAAAAACATCCAAAAACAGATAATATATGTACGGTGTTCATTAGAAATCAAATGAACATGAACCGCATATCCATTGGATATCATGTGTTGTCTGGGGAACTTAAGCGCTTTCAGGCTTCAAGTGGTTAGAATTAACATAGATTGCTGTGATGATTACTTTCTAATTATTGACTCTTCGCTAGTATAGGTTCCTTATTTACCAGGTGTTCCTGTTCACAGTTGTAGCCGAAACGTGTCAAATGCTTTAGAAACATAGCATTACCATGATTGTCACCAGACCCAAACCGGTTGCTTGTAATATACACACGTGGTGCTTTACAGTCACTTCAGTGAATTTAATCAGTTTTCATCATAATTAAGTTGTTGTACGCTGTGATACAAAGCAACAATAAAACACTTAAAACTTGATATGGGCAGATTAATAGATTCGAATACGAAATTAATGCGTTTAAAATGGAGATAGCTTGGTGATAAGAGAGATAGTAAACATTGTTTACCAACGAGCATGTTATTAACGTAATTTCACTATGCACTATGTCCTAAGGTATATTTCCATGCTGCTCTGAAAAATGATCATATATATGGTCGATTCCGACACTGTGTCCAATGTGCCAATTTTGTTAGGAAAACGAGAGAACGCACATGCCAGCTGAGGAAGTCTAGCATATTAGTTTTGGAAATTATTTTGGAGGGGTCAAACTTAATTATTCCTTTTTTTGTCATGGCGTGTGTTTCTACACTTTTTGAAACATATCGAATGCATTATTTTAAAGTTGATTTCTGTTGACGTATCGATTCGTAGGTTCTCAAACCTCAAGGAAGTGCTATTCTTGCGAAGCTAATTCGTTGGAGTCCTCTGATGTTGACTTTAAGCAATGTCGTAGCTTTGTTAATCTTACCGCAACTACGAGTTGTCCAAACGGAAAATGCATATTTTATCTTGAAGGTACGTATAATATGTTAATCTAATACACGAATATCATCTAGATCCTTTTAGAATATCTAGGCGGCAGCTATAACAAACAGATCGTTTATAATACGGTGAGATTATGTCATATCTATGATTGTAACTACCTGAAGCAAAATGGCCGCGGAAAGAAACACTGTGTGGAGTGCGACAGCGACTACTGCAATACTAGCAAATATTGATCAATACGACCAAATCTCTACAAGGATTGTGAACATTATTGTCTGCACACTACTACCACCATTTTGTTATTGTTCATTATTATTTTTGTTCTTTTTTCTTTGACATGATCCTCTAAACTAAACTGTAAAATGAAATAATTATGTTGTAATATTTACCTTTGGAAACCTTATTCCCCCGCCAGAACTCCAGACTTCTCAAAGATCTATAGATTTTTTAAAACACTTTGACCCTTCTAATGGAAGATTGTGTGATGGTTTTTCGAAGAAAAGGCGGCGAGTGTGTTGCAAAGACAAAAATAAATTAAAGGTCTGCGCATATGTGAGGACGACGGTACCCAATTTTACATACGTAGATTATTATCTTGCCCCTGCCTATTGTGATAGCGCTTTTTGCTATGTTCCCAACGAAATTCGCCAAAAATTAACCATGCAGGAAAGAAAAAGCGAATCAGTTTGTACCTACTGATCTTAACCCACCCCAGGCTCGAAGTGAAGATGACAGATTTTACGGCAAAGTGGCAACGTTGCAATCCCAGTATCAAAACACGGTTCCCGCTCAAATTTCGAAAAAAACAATGGCACGTGATTGGATCGTCTAAGGTAGGGCCCCCTTACGTTACACGAAGCTAATACAATGACTCGGGACCCAGTCGGGCAGGAACACTAAAATAAAACGCTGTAATGTCTGCGAGTTTATTTATTATAAACTTATTCTGAAAACCCGGGAATTTGATGGATGCAAGCAAAACCTAAAGTGCCGCACTCTCGCAAAAGCAGACTACCAAGGAGAAAAAGAGCACGACTTGAGAAAAAACCTTGGCCTTGAATAAAACCCAAACTATGCTAATCACAAGCAAATTAAAACACCAACCACCTAAGCAGAACACGTAACACTGCCTTAATTAATTAATGAATTCAAGTAGCGGAGTACGTTTGAACAGTATGCGTAGAGTATTCGTCACAACATGTCATGTACTTTCCTTTAATCGCGGCTAGAAGGTAACTCACTTTTTAGTTAGTCATTGGGTGGTGAATCTGGTTATTCGTTAGGTTTGGGCCAGCGTCTTCGCTTGATTGCCCTCCTGTTTCACGGTTATATTCATGTTGTGACGTAACAATAGGCAGTTATGACAATACACAGTGTGCCCTCAATTATGCTCAGTTTCCACATAATGACATTGGTATAAATCCCAGACTTCCGGAACTACTACCTGTGCTTCGTAACTCCCCTGACATCGGTCACGTAACGACACAAAACTGAAGATGGTTAAGAGATGGGTCGCCGCCCATGGGTAGGACGGCCTTGGTTACAGCACTTCGTCCCTAAAGTTGGAGATTCGAGGGCCCTCAGATCCTTTTATGCCTTAGCTCTAGAATACCTTTCTATTCTAGCGTCCGAGCTCCCTCTCACGGTAGAAAGATATGAGTTACATACAACAAGGCACACGCATTCGCGAATGTTACGAGTCACCCTAAACTAAATACACCTAGCATTGCATGCCCTACTTCACGGAAGTCGAGGTTCTACATAGGTACACCCCCGTGCACCGTGTAACTGAGTTAAACGTGGTCTAAACCTGAGATATCGTAGACTTCCACAAGCACATGGATATTAGTTAACACCTCGCATGTTATAAATTACATATTAGCATAATGGTAGTTGGAAAATATCTGATTTAACAAAAGGCACAATTCATATAAGTACCTACACAAGAGTAAACTACATAAAATATTTTACCCGACACCAAAGTTGTTAAATCCTACGCACAAACACCAAAAACAAAGCTAAACTAATACAACTCAAAATACAATACCTAATTCCACCAACAAGCTTTAACAATCAATAAGTGACGCCAAGCCCCCAAATCCCAAACATCCTCCGGAAATTACAAAAAAAAGATATAGACATTAGTGATTCTATACTCCTCCGGCATTTACCTTACGAATAAGGAAAACTGCAGGAAAACCTAATTCGAAGTAGCCCTATAATGAACAACGCCTACAGCTAACATCTAATGTGCAGCACTTTTGAGCCCTCTCGACAAACAGGGGTAAATACTACATACAAGCTATGAGTATCCAAAATGGAATCGAGCCATTCCCCAGGTATTACAACACATACATCAGACAAAACTAAGAGGTATTAAATGTGCCTCGCCAGGCGGTAGGATTACCCAGGGCCAGTGGGTGCCTGTAGACGTGGGCTAAAGTTGTTGGGTTTCGGAACTAGTGAAAATGTTAGTGCTAGGTTCACCAAGGCCCGTATAAACTTGAATAACTCGATCCCCTCTAAACAAGCACACTTCCCTCTTGATTACTCACAGCCCCAAATAAGCAAATATACTCGTAATGAAATGCAGTGAAATAATCTAGAGTGACTAAACAGTACGATACACAAACAGTGGGACACATGTAACTATGTACAGGGTGTAAATCGAAAAGTGGAACATATGCGTTTAACATGGGAAATTACTTTTTCTTTGCGCAAACGTTTCGTAATTATTTTACGCAAAAATACTTCAAATAAAAGTTATAGAGATATAAATTCTGCATCTAAATCATGTGACACGATTATTCTACCGAAAAAATTAATTATAAAGATTCTGTTTGGCGTCCGACGTCCGACGATCCGAAAGTGTTCCTATTGGTTGAAAATTTTAAAAATTGAATTTTTTAACATTGAATATTACAACTTTTGCCACAAAAAGTACTTATATAACGTAAATGTAACTTCTGATTTTCTGAATGTGAAATGAAATCCGAAGAATACTAAAATAGAAATACATAAATTTGAGGTTTGACTATCAAAACACGCAGGTGTGCCATTATTTAACAACGACACTAAAATTCGGTGAAGTTTCCCTCGATTTGTCACTAAAACATTTTGCGAAATTCGGACGCATGTGAACTCTGGCATATTTTTTATCCGATAAAAAATTTCCGAATCGGATGGCGGACATCGGATGCCATGAGAACTAGCCTAAGTAGCCAAGGACTATGTTTTTCTTTTATCATAGTCCATGGATAGACTAAAAACGCGATTAAAAACATTATTGGACAATGGTACATTGTAGTGCACGGAAGTGATAGTTAAAAAACACACGAAAGTACATCGTTTCACAGGTATATAAATTATAGGTTAGTTTTCGGTGAAATAATAAACAAATGTGGGCTTCACTTTACGATCATTATTATCACTCCTCACTCTTTCCTTCTCTAAGGGTTACACATTGTGATGATCCTAGCCTCCTACTATCTTGGCGGGCTAACACCAACTTCAGGTCACACCGGAATATTTGACCATGTTCTGTAGTATTGGGAATGCCAAACTAACATGGCTGCCTATTTGAATATTCTCGCTTAAGTTTCCCGCGAGAATCCGTCACTCGGGGGCCACTCCGAATGCACTAAGGTCGTGATCGTCATGTAGGACACCTACGTTGTGTAATAACTGGGTTCTCAGCAGGCACTGAGGGCGTTTTATGGGTAAGGGACACCAAAAGCAATAGTTGATTAAGTTTATATTGCAGCTAATACCAAAACGGTGCCCCTGCAGAGGGTCTTAAGTGGTTCTATACTACTCCGGCATTTACCTTACGAATTAGGAAAACTGCAGGAAAACCTAATTCGGAGTAGTCCTATAATGAACAACATCTAATGTACAGCACTTTTGAATCCTCTTGAAACCGGGGTAACTACTACAAACACGCTGTGAGTAACCAAAATGGGATCGAGCCATTCCCCAGGTATTACAACACATACATCGGACAAAACTAAGAGATGTCAAATATACCTCGCCGGGCGGGAGGAGTACTCACGCCCAGTGGGGTCCCTGTAAACCTGGGCTAAAGTTGTTGGGTTCGGAACGAGTGAAAATGTTAGTGTTAGGTTCACCAAGGCCGTATAAACTCGAATAGCTCGATCCCCTCTAAACAAGCACACTTCCCTCTTGATTACTCACAGTCCCAAATAAGCAAATATAATGAAATGCAATGGAATAATCGAGAGTGACTAAAAAGCACAATACACAAATTAAATATGTACATATGCAAGTATGTACAGCACAGATACAGCCCTACCGACAATGAAACATGATTGCCAATACCAACAAAGGTTACACATTAAAGGTACAAGTGATTGAATTCAGTAAGTACATAAGTAAAGGGTTACCATCTACATTAAAGTGACACACATTTATAGATTAATTGAATAAAGCAAATACCTCACCTGATATAACAAAGCAAAATCACACAGTAATGATTAAGGTATCACAAAATATTTCAAGACAAGCCGTACTTTACACTTCAGCCGGTTACAAGAAAAAGACCATGAACACACATATTAAATCCTATTTATTTGACCAACCCAAGCCACGCAGTAATTTGATCTGCTAATACCCCTAAACCACCCCAAAATCGCCCATTCCCTGCATTTCACGCATTTCTAAGAAAAAATTGGACTGCAGGTGTTTGAAATTGTAAACAGATGTGGTCTTCCAAGGAATTCCATCCGTCTCATCTTCGCTCTCTTTCCCTTTTCTGTAATCCCACCAGATTTCGGTTGGCAGCTTGTGTAACTAACATGATGTATAGGGTGCTTCGTATCGACAATCATATTCACAGGACATTGCTAAGGTTGGGGCATCTCAACTTTAAAGGTACAAGTGAATGAATCCAGTAAGTACATAAGTAAAGGGTTACAATTCTGCATTCAAGTTAAACACATTCAGAGATTAATTAAATAAAGGAAATACCTCACCTGATATAAAAAGGAAAAGCACACAGCAATGATTAAGGTATAACAAAATATTTCAAGATAAGCCGTACTTTACACTTAGGCCGGTTACAAGAAAAAGACCATGAACACACATGTTACATCGTATTTATTCATTACGACGCTGTAACTCGATCTCTTAACACCCCTAGAAACCACCAGAAAATCGCCCATTCCCTGCATTCTCTTTCCCTTTTCTGCAAACCCACCAGATTTCGGTTGGCAGCGTTTGTAACTAACATGATGTGTAAGGTGATTCGTATCGACAATCATATTCACAGGATGTTGCTAAGGATGGGGCATCTCAATACAATAATGCGCTTTTTTCTTACTACCTAAAATACATCACCAAAGATGGGAAAGTGCTCTTATGCTTATATGGAGTTTAAAGAAAAAATGGAACAAGCTATAATCCTTCATTTTCTATGTAAAACTAAAGTCGTTTATATATTTTAGCAAGGTCTGATGATGAAGTGAACTTCGAAATGGATAACCTATAAAGAAAAAAAAAAAAATTATTTGCCTCTAACTTACCTGCTACATTAAATATATCCAAAATGATTTTCACATGGAGCAATACATCAATAAAAATAAATAAAACACTTCGAATTGTTGTTGTTTTATTATAATTTCGGATCAATTAGACACCATTTCTAAAACAAAATTAAATCACCGAAAACATGGAGAAAATGATAGTACCTACAAACATTTAAAAATCATAACAACAAAGACAAAACTAAATGCTAGACTAAATGTATACAATTTTTTGTTTACTTACAGTGGTTAATAAATTATTCTAATTCTAATACCTAATTGTGGCTGTGTGACGGAAAGGAAACAACAAATGGTTTGCATGTGTTGCCGTGTATCTGATAATAAGTGTGCTCATTAGCCCCCCGGGAGGTTTTAAATTTGGGTATGCTAAGGACACACTAAGTGGTTATGGGTCCTGTTTAGTGTTCCACAATTATGAGTGATAGCTTTAGATGCGCCACCCTGTAAAGTTACAGGAGTTCCAATCAGAAAAACACGTAGTAACCTAACGCTAGAGAATTGATTATGGCACGGCGATCTTAGACAATGTGCGTCGAGAGATGTTGCTGAAAAGTAGACTTAATGCTTGTCGTATAATTGCAACTGCATTTAAACACTTCTGTAGAATGGTATTTCGACATATGATCTCGCATATCAGACTTAAGGTGGCAGGCATAATCGCAAATGTGACATTTATACCTGTTTAAAGCATCGTGCGAGTGCATCGCCGCGAAGTGCGATTTGAGATTCCCTTTAACATTCGTTGCGTAATCGCAACTGGCACATTTAAAATCTTTAGAAATTTTGTGTTTTAAGAGATGGTGTTGAAAATTTCGCTTAATTTTTGTTTCATAGTCACAACTTGAACATTTCAGATTTTTATAATGTTTCAATGTGTGTTTTACGAGATTGTGTTGTCTGAAATTCCATTTAATATTCGTTCGATAATCACAAATGGTACATTTAAAATCTTTTGAAACCTTGTGTAGTACGAGATGTTTTTTTAAAGAAGGTTTATATTTTGAAGCAAAATTACAATGTGCACACCTGAAATCTTTGGAAGGTTTGTGCATTCTGAGATGTTGTTTCAAATTCATTTTTGTATTTGTTTCAAAAGGACAATTGTGACATTTGAAATCCTTAGAAAGATTATGTATTAGAAGATGCCGTTTCAATGTAGTTGGACGATTTGTAACAAAATCGCAAATGTTACATTTAAGATCTTTGGAAACGTGCACATATGTTGGATGATGTTTCAATGAGCTTTCAAACGATGTGGAATGCATTAAGAGATGAATTTTCAAAGCACGTTTCCAGTTTGTGGCAAACTTACAATGAGCACATCTAAATAAATCTTTAGAAATTTTGTGCGTTAAGAGGTGAATTTTTAAAGTACTTTTAAAGTTTGTTGCAAAATTACAATGTGCACACTTCAAATCTTTAGACGTCTTGTGCGTTTGGAGATGTCTTCTAAAATTCACTTTCATATGTGTCGCGTAATCACAAATGTCACATTTAAAATCTTTTGCGACGTTATGCGTCAGATGATGTGCTTTCAATGTACTTTGACGGTTTGTGGCAAAATTGCAAATGTTACATTTAAAGTCTCTTGAAAGGTTATGCGTTAGAGAATGTGATTCCAATCTACCTTTAATGTTTGTAGCAAAATCACAAACAGCACATTTAAAGTTTGCCGGTCGACTCCACTGGTGTGTCGACACATGTTTTTCAAATTTGTATTTATGATTTGTTTCATAATCACAAACCTTACACGTAAAATTGGAAACCTTGTGAGTTAACAGGTGGCTTTGAAATTTGTGTCTATAATGTGATGCATAATCGCAAATGTCACATTTAAACGCTTTAGCAAGACGGTGCACCAAAAGGTGTTTTTCAAAGTTTGATTCATTATCCGCCACGTAACGACAAAGGCCACATTTTATAGTTTGAATATTTGGCAAATTGTTTTGTTGCTGCACTCGTTCTTCTTTCACAGTTACCAAAACATCATTGCTTATAAAAACATTTTTTCCGAGAGACAAATTTATGTCGTCTTCTTTTTCCGGTTCAACTTTAACAACGCCATCAACCATTACTGCCTATAAATATGTGTAAATGCTACGATTAGAAACTTAGGACTTACCTCCATCGTAGCCATGCCTTAGGACGGGTATTAAAATAAATCGAACAAAGCTAATAGTAATGGACTCCGTAATGGATGCACTAGTAGTTTCAATTGGGGAAAATTTGTTGGTGTTGAACACAACTTAAAACTAAACTAACCTGCGACTCAGCATTATGAAGCAAGAACATCTAACTTCTGTGTTACGAAAAAGAGCCGATTGCGATGGAAATGCCGTTTTTATACACATGTATGGATGTGGCTCTTGTACATGACGATGTTTAGTAAGAGTTGTAGGGACCTCCCTGTATGTACAATATAATAATAGCGTTTTCGATTGGCAAAACTCGTACTGCACGAGTGTTGCACGAGAAACTGAAGAAATCCATATGAAAATTGCTCTCAATGGAACATAAATATTCGTAAATATTTGTTGTCATTTGTCCATAACCTCATTTTAGATGTAGGTAATCGACAAATCTCTATTCTAAAAAATTACAAACGATTTCAGTATTATTTATGATAAACGATGAGGAATATAAATTTGAAATTCCTGTAAAGGACCAATTTTTGGCGTTCAGTTTAATGAGTAAGTGCAACTTTTTGTAAAATAGAAGCTATTTCACCATCTTCGCTATCGCAAGATGACGACAAAAAACTCTCCAATGCAAGAAACAAATTCAAATTGCTGCACGTTTGTTTTGAAAATTTGTTAACTAGTAGCTCCACGAGCTCTCGGACCTCGTGCGTTGAAATTTGCACTGAGTGCGTAATTGTTGCATCACATTTGCCAATGGAACACAGAAAATTGCCCTAAAACTACCAATAGAACGTAAAAATTGCACTCGTGCAGCACGAGTTTTGCCAATCGAAAACGCTATAAGGTATTTCACAGTGTATATTTGGGGGCATGTGTTGTACTAACACTGTAAATTAAGTGCTTAAATTCCGTGCTATTTTACTTCTGACAATTAAATCTCAATTAGATAGATAACCTGCTTAGTAAAGAACGGTTAAACACATCGGCGCCTTATTTAAACAATTTAAAATGTCCCGAGCGGCTACAGAGAGTAACTTCGGTGATGTTGGTTGTTTGTTTTCGAAAAGAAGCAAAACGAACTGTGACATATCTTATACACGAGACTCTGTAAATACTGCAAATGCAAGGAATAGGTACAAACCGCAGTTACTCTCTGTAGCATCATTTACGTCGGCAATGAATACTTCTACACATTCCGATGATTTGGTATTTAAAACACTGTCGAAAAATAATACATTTGCACCTCATACAGGATTACAACAAAGAGCACTTTGTTATCCATTACTGCTGCACACGTTTGAGCGTTGAATGAAAAATAATTAATAATTAATAATTTAACAGTCTAAGGTTAAGCTGTACAAAATTTAGACATTATGTTATCCCTCTAGAGGCGCTGTAGGCCAGTCATTGTGGATCTTTACCTGGAAATAAGTCCGGAAGTTTTGAAACTTTGTAGGTTCATAGGTTTTGGGATCTACAACTAAAATTCACAAAATGCACAATCCGAGATGCCGCCGGCGCCGCCATCTTGCCAAGATGGCGCCCAAAAACAATTTTTTGCAAATATCTCCAAAACTATGCGTTTTTCGAGAAAATATGTAGAGCGCAAAATTAAAGAGGAGGAAGTTTCCTATAAGTTCCTAGTAAATATTTATCACGAAATAATGGCACATCTTTTATTCAATTAATCGATTAATTCATTAATCAATCCATGTTAATAATTTATGATCAATTAATTTATTTATTTATGTAGGGACCTTTAAAAACCGAAAAAAAAGTGAAACCGGAACCGGTACCGAAACCCTTAAGAAATAATTCTACCTAAATAGTGCGAGACCGTAACCTATACCTATTTTATGTGGGTTTCAACCCTCTGGATTTTGGTACCCGCCGCGGGGGAACTTTTTTTGTATGTACAGGGTAAGTCAACAATTGCGCGGAGTAGCTTAATGCCTTGAAGATAAGATTTTTCGATTGAATGCTTCTGTATTATGATATGGTTGAATATTCTCCACATTTTAAAAATATTTGGAATTATACAGGGTGCGCTCACAAAGTAGTACGCTAAAATGGTAAATTTTTTTTAATGAAACCCCTGTATTTGAATGCATATTTGAATTCTACGTGTAATTGTACGACTTTTTTTTATTATATGGTTAATATTCGAAAAAAGATAATTCGTTTTGTAAGAAAAATTTGGCATTGGCAAGCGTCAGTTTATTGTCAAAATTATTACTTGAATTTTGATTCCAGGTTCTATATCCTTGATCCTGTGTAAAGTAAAAGCAAAGAGATTATGGGTACTCTTTGCTAAAAGTCAAATAAATAGATCTACTATGAAACATTAAAAAAATAGCATACAGGGTGTTTTTTTGTAGGTCCAAATTTTCATATTAAAAAATCTCACTTATTTAAATGGAACACCCTGTATATTTTTCTGTCATCTTTTAGCTGCTCCAAAAGCGTTCAACTTTTGATAATCATGTCCTATAGCTATCTTTGATAGTTTTCGAAACATCTTGGTTTTCCTGGTTTTTTATATTCTAATCTTAAATACGTTATATGTAATTTACCTACTAACGAGGCGGCCATGCAAAAAAAAACGAAAATCATCAATTAATTTATTTTTCAAACAATTCAACTTCAAGTTCAAAAGCAACAATAGTAACAAAGGTTTATTGTGCGTCGTTAACCAACGAAACCATGACTTTGTTTCTATTGGTTATTTCATACTGATCTAATGATAGTAAACTAATGATAATAATGATTGTATAAATCCACCATAAATTTCTGTTAAATGGATTTTCATTACGTTGGAAAAAAATGTGCAAACACAGTATGAGTCCATTAGAAAATTCATCTAGCCTTCCGCGAAACCCATACAAATTTAAAAAGCGCTTTTAAACCCGGATGTTTTTCCAACGCCAACTGTCGTGCACTTTCATAATAAATTTCGCGATAAAACTACGGATAAACATTTCTAATATTTACCCTGGTAAACGGTAGATTGCAATCAATTCCGGTCGAGCTGTTTGTCCACACGTATCTTTCTTACACGCCATAGATTTATTATTTATTCAGTCGAGCACTCAAACGCGAGTGATTGCTTCAAAACAACCCTCGCGGACATTTCGCACCGCTCGACGATGTTGGAAAGACGGAACGTTTTCATTTCCGACGTGATGAAGGAGGCCTCCTCCCCAATGGTCTACATCGGCCGATTTTGGGGCCTCTTTCCGCTCACCATCGAGAAACGCGGTCCGTATTTCACGCTGAGGTGGTCGCAGAAGTACTCGCTCTACAGTTTTCTGCTGGGGGCCGCGCTCGGTAAGCGTCGCTCGCCTCCTGGCCCCGTTTATCGTATTCTTTCGCAGTTTGCTTGACCGTCCACGGGATGGTGAACGACCTGCAGGCCGGCAGCACTAAGTCAATTCGCATGAAGCAGCAAACTGGAAAGTACGTCACAATTGGGGACATCAGCATTGTGGTCCTTATCGTGTTCATCGGAATATTTGGAACTCCGTTTAGGGCCAACGATTTCTTCTCGTTCGTCGACGCCATGAACGAGGTAGGGCCGATCTGTGCGTCTCGGGTTAAATTAATCTTGACAGGTCGATTCGATCATCGTGATTTCCGACGCCAAAAGGGCGAGGAGGGTATCGATTTTGCGACTGTGCACGGTCTTAACGGCGGCGACCGCCATACTCATATCCGATTTGGCTATGTGGTGGACCATAGGTGATCAGTCCCAGGGTAGCGATTTTTTAATCGGTAACTACGTCCCGTTCTACACCTCTTACTACGTCATCCTTTTCCTCGAGTGCCAATATTGGCACTTGCTCTACTGCATCAAGCGAAGGTTGCAGCTGCTGAACGCCTGCTTGAAAATCAACGGCGTGACTCCGGAAGATGCCATTCGAGGTGTCATCAACAAACCCTTTAGCCTCTTTAGGAAGACGCAGAAATCGGAACCGAAGGTGATTAGCGTAATCGATGCGCTTGGTAGGCAGAAGACCATCGTGGACATCTTCTTCATACGCAACGGTAAGTACGACCCCACCGAAACTACCTAGGTACCTCTCGAAAATCTTCAGCGGGCAAGTTGCAAGACAAATCGGTCAACGACTACATTGTGAAACTGACGCGGGTCTACCTGAAGCTGTGCGATGCGGCGGACTGCGTCAACAACTGCTGCGGTCTGAGCATTCTGGTACCTATGTGACCCGGTTATTTGCCCGTGCTCAAAATGGCGACGGTTTCAGATTATTTTAACCAGCTGTCTTTTGCACCTGGTGGTTACCCCCTACTTCTTGGTCTTGGAGATTTTGGGTAGGAAAAACGTTCTGGTCGCGACCATACAAATGGTGTGGATATTTACGCATTTAACTCGTCTGGTGATCATCGTCGAAGCGTGTTACGCCTGCACGTCGGAGGCGAGGAAAATACGTCCGTCTATTTGTAAGTTGCTCTGCTACGATTTCGACGAAGACACGAGGAAACAGGTTTTAACAATAATGTTTTGTAACAATTCCGCAAGTGGCTGTTGTAGCTGGAGCTGTTCGCGGCTGAGTTGAATCACCGGCAGATTGAGTTTACTGCTTGTGGGCTCGTCAGAATAGATCGAGCTTTAATAACATCGGTACGTATTCGCCGAGGTAAATGCAGTAAGTACAAAATTATGTCATCGCACTTACAAGATTTTGCTCATATTTTCCTAACTAGCCTCTTTGTTAGACACAATTTGGCCAATCGGGTAAAAGGCAATACGATATCAGTCCCCGCCAATTTTCATTTCATGACACATTATCAATAGGATACGAATATCTATCGCATACGATTTTCAGTAAGGGAATTTTTGGACACGGGAACGCGACTTTTAATCCGGCTCCTATTCAATAGCACTGATCCTTGAATTAGTAGAATCGATTGGCATCGCTGCTTCTGTTCGTTGTTGGCGCATTTTCCGAAAAATTCCCCTAAAAGGTACACGGATACAAAAGTGAAGCATATCCATTTCCGTATGTAGTTGCTATGTTAGACAATAAACCTTAGGCTTGATATGTAATCGAACCCCGTTGTTTGTAAACATTTTATAGATCTCTTAAAACCCTAACAGTCAGACCGACAGACAAAGCCATTACATAAAGAGCATTTTCCGAAAAATTCCCCTAAAAGGTACACGGATACAAAAGTGACGCTTATCCATGTCCGTAGATAGTTGCTATGTTAGACAATAAACCTTAGGCTTGATATGTAATAGAACCCCGTTGTTTGTAAACATTTTGTAGATCTCCTACAACCCTCTCCTAGATTCCGTATGCTACTATGGACTTCGTAAATAACGTACATTTCATAAAACGCTCACATTTTGTTGATTTTGAAAAAGGGAATTTTTGAACACGGAAACACGACTTTTAATCCGGCTCATATTCAATAGCACTTATCCTTGAGTTCGTAGAATCTCTTTTCGTTCTCGAGTTAGACGAGCTACTAACGGACAGACCAACAGACAAACCCATTACATAAGGGGCATTTTACAAAAAATTCCCCTAAAAGGCACACGGATACAAAAGTGATGCATATCCATTTCCGTAGGGAAAAACGTACATTCCATAAAACGAGCACATTTTGTCGATTTTGAAAAAGAGAATTTTTGGACACGGAAACACGACTTTTATTCCGGCTCATATTCAATAGCACTGATCCTTGAATTCGTAGACTCAATCGGCTTCGCTGTCTCTTTTCGTTCTCGAGTTAGACGAGCGACTAACGGACAGACCGACAGACAAAGCCATTACATAAGTGGCATTTTGCGAAAAATTACCCTAAAAGGTACACGAATTGAAAAGTGACGCTTATCCATTTCCGTACATAGTTGCTATATTAGACAATAAACCTTAGGATTCATTAGTAATAGAACCCCGTAGTTCGTAAACATTTTGTAGATCTCCCACAACCCTTTCCTAGATTCCGTATGCTACTATAAACTTCGTAAACAACGTACATTCCATAAAACTAGTAGATTTTGTCGATTTTGAAACAGGGAATTTTTGGACACGGAAACACGACTTCTAATCCGGCTCATATTCAATAGCACATATCCTTGAACTCGTAGAATCGATTGGTATCGCTGTCTCTTTTCGTTCTCGAGTTAGACGAGCGACTAACGGACAGACCGACAGACAAAGCCATTACATAAGGGGCATTTTCCGAAAAATTCCCCTAAAAGGTACACGGATGCAAAAATGAAGCATATCCATTTCCGTAGGTAGTTGCTATGTTAGACAATAAACCTTAGGTATCATATGTAATAGAACCCCGTTATTCGTAAACATTTTGTAGATCTCCTACAACCCTCTCTTAGATTCCGTATGCTACTATAGCATTCGTAAACAACGTACATTCCACAAAACGCGCACATTTTGTCGATTTTGAAAAAGGAAATTTTCGGACACGGAAACACGACTTTTAATCCGGCTCATATTCAATAGCACTTATCCTTGAATTTGTAGAATCTCTTTTCGTTCTCGAGTTAGACGAGCTACTAACGGACAGACCGACAGACAAACCCATTACATAAGGGGCATTTTACAAAAAATTCCCCTAAAGGGCACACGGATACAAAAGTGATGCATATCCATTTCCGTAGGTAGTTGCTATGTTAGACAATAAACCTTAGGCTTGGTATGTAATGGAACCCTCTCCTAGATTCCGTATGCCACTATAGCCTTCGTAAACAACGTACATTGATCCATATGACTGAACAGATTTCTTTGTTTCGAAGTAGTAGACGATGGCTGCTGGCGTTAGTTGTTTTTTGTGGTACGGACAGCGTAGATTGCTAGTTGAATTGAAATTGGATGAAAATGACATGCTGCTTTTTAACAGACACGCTCATTATTTGCGATTGTATGACGACATCTTGTATTGTTGTTCGACTAATGCGCATATATTATGCAGGCTTAATTCGAACTTTGACGGCTCCTGCATCGCACATAACTAGTGAGAATACATACAGGGACATACGTAATAGTTATATACAGGGAGTGGTAAGGATAATAAAATATAATGAGGAGAAAGGACTATGCAACCAAAAATTTAAAATAACCAGATACTGTAAAGCATCATAATTTAATGGCGTCAACTGAAAAATTGGCATTTTTGGGGGACCTCTAAATTTGACGTCGTTAAATTATTGTGATCCCTAAATCACAATTATTTGGAGGGATTCTAGTTTGAGAACGCAACAATGGCGGGTCTGTTAATTCTATGATATGTAGTTTTTGTGTTTTTGTGTCATGATCTTAGGGGTTTACAGATCAGGCAGTGCAATTTTGACGTACCATACTTTAACAATTGGCGGTTCTGGGTAAAGATCAGTTCCAGCGACATCTATCCTGAAATTGAAATGCACATGAAAATCTCCTATGTTCAATTCTTAAATATACAAGTTAATGCATTTGTATGCCTAGCAGTTATGCAACCCACTTTACACATGTGACAGTAACACAAACAAATACTATGCCATCAAAAATGAGTTGCTGTCGAGTCACCTTTGGAATTTTTGTTCACATGAGAAATCGTACTTAATTTGAACTTCCAAAGGCGACTCAACAGTAACCCATTTTTGATCGCCCGTTACCTAGTTATTTATTTTACCCAAAATCGTCCTGAAACCTTCATTTTCATGCCTACTTTATGTCATGACATTTTAGTTTCCATGACAGAGGCAGATCAGACTACGTTTCTGTCGCTTGTCACTTTACCGGCCGCACCGTCACGTGTCTGTGACATTGCGAAATGTCTATAATCACTCCTGTCATCACTGACAGATTGACATTAATCAAAAGATTAAAGAGATTTTTTTCACTACTAGCGTCTGATGACATGATTATTAACCTTTTTTCCACTTGTAAAAATGCTTTCTCGGCATTTGTTCAAAGTGGTTAATAATGTGGACATTATTAACTTCTAGTAGTCAATAATGAGAACTGTCACGCTGTCACTTTTAAAAAACACAAACCGAAATTTCGCTCAATAGGTAAACGTTTAGACAAGTTCTCTAAAATGAATAATTGCCACCATCCGCCATTTCCAGAGAAATTACATACATAAAATTATCACGTTTTGAAAAAATTCGAACGAAATTACTCTTTAAAAATATCTCAATGACAGAACAAAATACGGCCTGTTTGACTTGTACTTCCACGTACTTGATTGACATGTTAAATTAATAAACAAAAAATTCTGTCCAACCGTTCACTTTCTTATCAATATAATATGTTAATTTAGAGGACATCGAGTGCTAGTAGTGAAAAAAATAGTATATACACCACGGTAGAGAAGTCTATTATTGCCTTCGCACCTTACACCCCTCGGCGCAAGCGTCTCGAGATGTAATCTTGGTGCTCAGGCAATAATACTGGACTTCTCTACCTTGATATATAATGTACTATTATAATGAAATGCGATTTTGGGTAAAATTTAATACTTAACTCGTCAGTAAAATGACATTACCTGATTCAGAAATTAAAATTCAATATTTCCTCGCCAGTAATGTGTCTAGACATGTGTACAAGACGCTTAATGGGAAAGTTGCGCTTTATTGTTGTGTATACCACAAAACTTTATTTTATAGCAGAAGTCATCTAAATTTAAAACATCCAAAATAACAAGATTAGGTTCATCCACCGTTTCCATGGAAACAGTATTGTTATATGTTGTGAACTTTATTTTATTTGGGGCTCAGAGTCCCATTTTTAATAAGAATGACTGATGTGATTAGATAGCACAATCATATGTTTCGATTTATCTACTCTTGCGGTTGAGTTAAAGAGATCACTAACCACTCTTACTGCTAATGTGACACTTAGAATACTCATTAAAACCTATAAAATATTAATTTCACATCTTATAGAATAAAAAAGCTAAGTAGGTATTTTAGATTTGGACGATTTGTTTAGCAGATTCGACTGGATCAATTGGAAGCTGTCTTTTGAAGCTAAAATATTTAACTTCATTTCTTCAATTAAAACACGGCCAGTTCTGTTCCTGGTGCAATGTTCATTAACAATTCAAGCATCAACATGAAATTTTTATATTTAGCAGCAAATAATAGATCTGTCATTCCTATTTTTCTTCTTTTGTGTATATTTTATTAAGAGTATAATTAACAATATTAATGCAATAAATAATTCAGATATTGACGTTTATTGAAAAACATTTGAAAAAGAGCTAGAAGAGGAAAGAACCTTGCATTAAAAGGGCACTCGACAAACAAAATTGATAAAAAAAGGTTATAAAAGCGGGGGAAAACGCGTTACTCTTGGCAAAACAAAACTGACAACGCCTCTTTTGTTTTGTGATACGTCAACTCAACATAAATGACCAGCGCAAAGGAGATAATAATTAGCGACTTCCGTCAATGCTATTTCACACCACCGTTACATTTTCTCTTCTTATTTTTTACCCGTAGAAAAAGAGTAAAAAATTAGGTAAGATGAGTTGCATATCTTAATTTTTCTTAAACGTATACAAACGGCTTGGTATAGGCAACCAACATTACACGCGACAAACGAGCTTTTTTTTACAGTTCTTAAACTGTTACCACCCTGATACCATGTTAATATTTCAACCTTATCTTCTTTGTCATACATTTTTGTGTTAAAAAATTACAATTTGATGCTAATAATAAAAATGCTAACCCTAATTTGACATTAAATAATCAAGTTGCTGTTTCATAGCAGACGCAGATTGTCATTTAAAACTAATTCTTGTAGAGTTGGTTGCCTATTATAACCATCCATTAGATCCGTTTGTAAAGTAGTTCATATGAATACATTTAAAAAAAATTTCCTGTATATTGTTCAGTTAAAATATACGGACTGAATATTTCAGGTAATTGAGTGTATTGTTGGTTGCCTATATGCCTCCTTCCGTATATATCGAAAGTGCCTTATGATTTTGATTCAATTTGACTCTTTTCAGATTGCGGGAGCGGTTACAACGTACCTGGTAATACTAATCCAATTTCAGAAGAACGACAAGTAAGAAAAATGAATTGCACACAAAAAACCAACACAAAATGTACAAATAATAAAATATATTAAGAAAAATTCCAATTATACAATTTTACTTCTGCACCCTTAAAGCTAATTATAAAATTAAATCTAATGAAAAGCGTAGAAAAGTAGCAGCAACGTACAGAGCGCGACCACCACCCCGATAATAATCGAATCTCTACGCTTTCGGAAGTTTATTCTCTGAATAAGACTATTTAATACGGGAAATCTATTTGAGATGTCGTTGAATCTCGTCTGAAATCGCTTGAACGTCTGACGTTGGCTCAACAAGTGCTCCTTGGTTTCGACGGCGATCGCTATCTGTTCGTTGACCAGGCGATCAGAGCTAAGAAACAAGAGGATGTAATCAGTGTTACGGGCGGAATCGAACCTACTTTTGTATATGCGAGTTTTCCTTCAGATACTGATCGCGTCGATTGATACCCTCGGGTCGAAAGGAATCTTTCTTATTGGTCTTGAGTAGATCTTCGCGTTCGCGTCTCGCCTCGTGCTGAGAATTGGTCTTGTGAAAGTCGCGAGACATGTCGGCTAAAATGTCTCTGTGCCTTTGTAGCGTGTGTAACATGGCGGCACCCGATACCGGTTGTTCGGTCATTCGTTCGTTCACTTGCGTCAACTAAGAGAGACCGATGGTTAATAGGAAGTGCTAAGTGATGTTGTACCTTTTTAAGGAGCTGCTCAATTTCCATTGACATTGACTCGAACGTGTCTTCGCCGGAAAGTAGCGGGACTGTGTCACTTTCATGCTTGTGATGAGGTGTGTTTATTCCTGCCCCCAATTTGCTATAAGCTACCAGCTTTAGATCGATGTCGTTTTCTAACAGCCGCGCCTGTTTGCGAAGGTCTAAAAACGTATCATAAACTAGTCCTTTGCAGAAAAAAATTAAAATAAATTACCTTCGTACGTAAGCGCAGTTGCTGTCGACATTGTTGTATTTTGTCATTTGTCAGTGTCACGTCAATGACGTTAAACAGCTGATTGCAAAGAATTCGTGTCTAATGCATGAGCAATGGGTGGCTAAATTACACCATATTCCTTTAAAGACAAATTTCGTTTAAGGCCGCTTGACATGGAGCAATACAACGCGCAAGAACTTGCAGAAAGAAATTGCAAGGTCAAATCCTTGCATGCAATAAGCATTGCATGGTATTTGACATGGTGCAATTCTATTTCAATTGCCACATGTCTGCCAACAGAAGAAAAATATGGACTTGTCAACAAAGTTGCTAACCTCCAATAAAAGTTAAATTTTGATTGCTTGAAGAAACATGAAAATTACAAGAACAAATACGATTAATAAAAACAAGTAATGAGTGCGTCTCTCAGCATCATAGTTGCCGCCGCTGTATTTTACTATAGGTTGGTGACACAAAAACAACTAGATTTATCCCTAGAATTGCACGATTCATGCAAGAAAAATAGCACCGGTCCTATAAAAATTGCATGCAAGTCTCTTGCAGCAATTGATCAGCTGGCTTTGAACTGCGCATGCCTTTCGCAATTTTTCTTGCAACTTGCATGTAATTGCAATTTTTATTGCTCCATGTCAAGCGGGCTTTAGGCATTTTTAGCCTTCTGGAATTCTCCAAATTGCCTTCTTTGCCCCCAGCTGAAACTGTCACTGGAAGAAACATGTATAATATTATTTTTCAAATAAGGTAGACAGCGGCGGCTCGTGAGAATAACTTCTCGTGGAGGGCCTACAAAAATTGCATGCAATTGATCAGCTGTCTTTGAACTGCGCATGCCTTTCGCAATTTCTCTTGTTATTGTTCTATGTCAAGCGGGCTTTACGCTCTTCAAGTAATGATTTAATAGGGTCGTTCGTTGATCACTTCGGATGTGGGAGTTGAAATGTACCTTGAGAGGTTCCACCCTGTATATACAACTTACGACGATACATACATTTTTAACAGTTGGCAACCATGCAATTTCTAGGTGGGGAAAAGCTGCCTGCGCCATCTAGAAAGCAGGAACGTGGATTACGTTTGGCATCTTGTCTTGAATAGTAATTTTTGCATTTCTTTATATCGTATTTGTTTTGTATGCTGCATTTTATATTTTTTGTGTGTTTCAATCTCTGATTTTGAAATTTACTTGATTTAACAGCAATTCAGAATGACATGTTAAATACCGTTATGCTATTGTTTGTAATTGTTTACGTTTTTGGTGTAATGCTTGCTTAATTTATGTTTATTGATGTTGATTACTTGGTCTTGTCCGTGAAGTAACATTCATATAAGTCTTAATCATTTTCTTTTAATATTTGGAAATTATCGATTCGTTTGATGTATGTACTGATTTGTTGTTTGTAACTAACAATTTTCTCCGTGAATGAAGCAGTCACGGGGGTGGTAAAAACTGTAATCAAATTGAGTTACGACACCTAATTCCGAGAATATCTTCGACATTCAACTGTAGGCTCGAAACCCGGAACGAGGAGCGACGCTACCTATCTTGCGGGGGTGAGATTATGCTAATCAAAACTCTTCAGTTTAGAATGTATGTGCGATAAATGAGTCACGATTCGTAATTTTTCATCTTGCTTTTAACAAAAGGACTTTATTGCAAGATGAGTCTAATCCTGTGTATTTCACCCTTTCTTAGAATCTTGGTACCTGCTTACCTGACCCATAATTCCCAAAACTTGTTTTTAGCCTATATTAAAGAGTAAGTATTCTTTGCCTATATGTTACTTCTTGCTATTTTGTAATGTTATAATTTTATGTTACGCATTCACATCATTACAAATATTTACAATACAATTTAAGATTAATTTGACGGCTGGTTATTTTATTGGTAAGTTCTTTTTTTTCCCAGCCGATTTCTATTTTTATTCGGTGAACTACTTACTAATTTCAAAGTTTATTTTTGCAATGTAATTAATTTTGTACTTAAATTTCCGAGCTTTTACAATCATAATAATTACGATCATTATTAAATATACGTTTCTCAATTTTAGTGGTTTATTTTACGTTCCTTCCCTACTGTGCTTCAGGTCAAAGCGTTGTCTACAACTAACGTAAGGGGGCCCTGCCTTAGATGTTTGATCACGTGCCACTTTTCAAATTTAAGCGGAATTTTGTTTAGTTTTGGAGGGAATAGTCATTCGGGAGGTCATTTTTAAACGTTGCCGGGTTGACTTTATTTCCGTGTTTTTGTAGTGTGAAGTTAGCGTAGAACCTAGGGGTTAAGTAGATTACAACCTGACAATTGGAAATAGGTGATAGTTACCTTTAACTTTAAATGCGCACTTGTGTTTATTAAGTTTGACTAGTAACATTTTAAATCCCGGAAAATTTAATGCATTCGCAGATGACTTTCTATCACACTGAGCACATTAAAGTTAAGCACTTATTCTAAGGTGCGCGAAATTGACTACTTAATCGCGCTAACTACAAATAAAATCCTTTGCAGCACTGTGTGTAATCTGATACCTTCTAAAACGGGATTTATTATTGGTTGCGTTTGCGTAATCATACTGGTCACAATTTAAATCCTTGGAACTCGTTTTTAGGTCGTTTTCATTGAACTTAAAAATGGAACAGTTGCTCGCATAAAAATATAAAATTTCAATATGTTTTTAAGCATTTATTGGTCCATAGTCACCAATTCGTAAAACGAACACGCATTGTACTTACAAAAACGCCGGCCATCTTGGAATTATGGGATTGGTCGAAATCACGAATAGCTCTATCGCACTTCTGTTGGTTGCATTTGCTGTGGCAGTGCTTCTGTGTCGCATGTCGATGGTATGATAGAGGGAGCTTACCTCGTAGTTTTCCCTTCTCTCTCACTTGCAGTATCCACTTATCATTGATTGGCACGCGCAGTCCATATATGTCGATGGTTGGTGCAAAATTTAATGGCTGCACGCTATATCTATGGAATATAAGATCTACCATGCTATGCACGCTTCAAAAATGAACCATTAATACTAGGTTATGGTAACGTAACTTATCCGATGTATCCACTTGCATTTCAATCTTTCCTATTTATCCGATGGCAAACAACCCACAAATATGTAAAATTCGAACGGGAATTTGAATTTGAGTTTCAAAGTAATTACCACCATTTTAAACACAACCTCAAACTGTACTGCTGTTAAGTGTAAATTATTTTAAAAGTAGATTCCACTTATTCCAGGACCTTCTAGGCTTTTGTCGACTATGTTATCTGTATAGTACCTAGATACTCAAATAAAGGTATTTGTCACAAGGTCCAAAATTGCAAAAAAAACGTGAACGCATCGTTTATGACGTCACGCCTCAAAATGACACCATGACCAGCCTGACGTTAGCACCCCGTAAGCGTGTCGCCAGTCACGGCGTATTTTTAATCGACCTACACCAAAAAGTGATTTATTTGGTTAAAAATCATATTTTTTCATGATTCAAACGTTATGTTGTGTTATAGATAGTCATGGTTGACAATATTGCATTTGTTAAAATTGAACCAAAACAAGAAGAAGAAATCAACTGGTGCCTTGAAAGGAACATTCTTGCAAGCAACTATTTATTGGAAAATATAAAAGAAGAGCATAATGACATAAGGACAAAAGTAGAGTATTATAGCCAAGAGTCCAATGAGGAGGAGCAAGGTCATTCCTCAAATATTAAATCTGAAACCGTAGGGCTTAAATGTAAAGTTTGTGATTACACGACGAGTGATGACCAAAGTTTTAAAATACACCTTTTGATGCATAGGAAAATTAGCAAGTTTAAATGTGCAAACTGTGATTACGTAACAAATGTCAAACGGTATTTAAAAGCACATCTCTTTAAGCACAAAGTATTTAAAGGGATAAAGTGTGCAAATTGTGATTATGCAACAAATACGAAAAATAGATTGAAGCGACATCTCATAATACACAATGACTCGAAAGATTTTAAATGTGAAATTTGCGATTATGTAACAAATAGTAAGGAGAAATTGAGATATCATCAACTAAAACACAGTGATTCAGAAGCTTTTAAATGTAACGTTTGTGATTATGTAACAAATATTAAAAGCTGTTTTAAGTCGCATCTCTTAATACACAATGATGCAAAAGATTTTAAATGTGACATTTGTGATTATGTAACGAATACTATGAAATATTTGAAGAAACATTTGCGAAAGCACAATCTTTCAAAAGTCTTTAAATGTAACGTGTGTGATTATTCCTCAAATCGGAAGGACCGTTTGAAGCAACATCTTTTAATACACAATGATTCAAAAGATTTTAAATGTGACATTTGCGATTATGTAACAAATACTAAGGAGAAATTGAGGTATCATCTTCTAAAACACAGCGGCTCAGAAGCTTTTAAATGCACCCTTTGTGATTATGCGACAAATATTAAAAGATGTTTTAGGTCACATCGCTTAACGCACAATGTTTTAAAAGACATTAAATGTGACATTTGCGATTATGTAACAACTACCAAACGGTATTTGAAGGATCATTTGCGGAAACACAATTATTCAAAAGATTTTAAATGTGATGTTTGCGATTATGCAGCAAATACCAAGAGGAATTTGAAGAATCATTTGCTAAAGCACAATGTTTCAAAAGTTTTTAACTGTGACCTTTGTGATTATGCTACAAATATGAAACACCATTTTAAATCGCATACCTTAAAACATAATAATTCAAAAGATTGTTTTAAATGTGACATTTGTGATTATGTAACGAATACTAAGAAGAGTTTAACGAGTCATTTTTTAAAACACAATTGATCTAAAAATTATACTGGTAACCATTTGTGATTACAACAGTGACTATATATACCTACAGATGTGTTGTGGGGTTGATAAAAATAGGTTTCTTTTTGTTTTAGGTATAGAACTAATTTAGGAGCTAATTTTCACATTAAAAAAACATTTGATATATTGCTTTCTATTAGCAATTAAATCTATGACATTTTGAAAATGTGTTGTGAATTTGTTGTAATTTTAATAATTGTGGTGTGTAAGTTGAATAAGTACAAGAAAGCAATATAACAACTTTACTTTAGTGCTAACATATTATAACAGACTGATAACATGGAAATTGGTTACTTTGTCACTCACTGCCATATATCATACTAGCATTTCATTGGTTGTTATATGGTAACCATGGCAATTGTGTAATAGTAATTTATATATCGTTGATATAATCAGATTACCTACTTTTGGTTTTCTGTATAAGACTTGTCTGTTGGAAATAAATAAATAAGTATTATTATTATTATAATTTTCGTGCGGCGATTCATAGTAATTAAGTCATAGATGTATGTCCTCTAACTAAGACTGCTGTTGTATGGTTGGCGTTAAATAAAATAGTTAGTTGTAACACTTTTACTTTGTTTTCACATTTCATGTACGTAGCGCTAAGTACCTACTTGCTGGTCAAGCATTAACATGTGCTAAGGGAAACTAAAGCTAACTCAACTCAACAATCCTAGCAAAATAACTCTAAACGTCTTGTGATCCACCGTTATGGTTAGGCAAGACACCTCTACATCTGAAACAAAAATATGATATTCTCTGTATATAACCAATCGACAGTTTTGGGCAGATGCCGAATACTAGGGCGGTAACGAAGCTATGGGAGATTGAAGAAGATGGCGACGAGGTCGACGGAAGGCTTCACGCCTTCCCGTTTATTTAATTCTTGATTATTTTGGTGGTGGTGTTTTGAAGATGTTACAGGTAGTAATCATTTTACTCTTTCTTGTACTAGCTATTATTAATCATTGAATTTCTTGCCACAATTTGATATTATTTACATTTTGCTGATTTTGCATAAACTACGATATTTGAATCATGGCATACTCCTTGCCTTTGTTTTGAGTTCCTACTTTAGATGAATCGTGTTTGTTATACTGTACAGGTGATTATGCCATTGTTTTGTTTAATTGAGTATTTATTTCTGTATTCACGAGGAGTTGATTATCAGTGCGATGTTGCTCTGTCCCATTGATCCGTAACTATTCCATGAGGGAAGTACCTAATACAATTTGATTATTCGCTGTATCTGTTACTTTCTTATTCGTGGCGCGCTGCCGTTCCTGTGCGTTAGCTATACGAAGGGGGGCTCTCTTATTTGATGTTTATGTGTGCGAGTGATTCATTCTGTCTCCGTGGAGTAGTTACCTAATACAGTTCGATCTTCCGCTGCATCCGTTGCCTACTCGTCTCGTGCGGTTTGCAGTTCTTAGCATATTAGCAATGCGAGTAGGAGCCCTCTCATTAACATTTCCACTATTTAAAATATGTTCTGCGGTTATAGATTTTCACATGAATACTTGCTATTGGCATTCTCACATGTACTTTTCGTGTTAAATAAAATTATGTTAACTGAAGGCTGGAGTTTCATGTTTCCTATGTACATGCCATTTATTATTTTACAAGTTGTGTTATCTCAATTGATCGTACAGGTATTTTGATGTGTTTTTGTACTGAATTGATTTATCATGTTTTCCACTGCATTTATGATGTCTTGTGTATTTTGTTTTTGTGAACTTGTTAAATTGCATTTGATTTGATTATTTGATGTTTATCATACAATTTGAGATATTTTATTTATGTGTATTGTCTCTTGCATTTTATTGCTGTAGGTGATTTATTTGATGTATTTGTGTGGCCTATGCCGGGGTTTTTGTCCCGTAAAAGGTTTCCCGTGGCTCTGCTTGTAGTTTTTTCCCAGAGTTGCCAACGGTAAGAATAGGGTAAGTCAACGTTTTCAGTGTCGGCTAGATAGACCCCTAGGAACATTACAGTCCTAATAAACAAACTAGTCGCGATGAGTGTGACTGAGATAGTTATACCGCCACCCCATTCTGTCACACGGCTTCAACGTTACGCCTATTCCGGTTTCCTTTCCAGTTACGTTGTTTATGATCGTTGATGGACAATGCAACTTAAGTTCGTTTATTGATGCACTAGAAAAGTGTTAACTTCGTATCGTTTTTTATTACAAAACGGAGAAAAACACTCCATTTCATGATATAGGCAGACGGGGCGCAATTAACGCAATCACGTGGTCATATTTATTTTAACCTAGAAATTATAGTCTTTGTATCTTCTCCGATTGACTGTTATGGTTTGCGATTTGTTTTATTTGGACATCTGCAATGAATATTTATACACATTCCCATCATTTAGTACTTGACCAGTCAAAATGTACAAAATTTAGAGGTTATGTTTAAGCATCATTCGCTCCATACCGTTCGTTTATTGTACAGTTATTAATTTGTTCCAGTGATCACGTGACCTTTTGCATCGTCCGCTTTGCTCACTGTTGAAACGGATAATCGAACGCACCATTAAGAAAAAGATGATTCCTTCCCTAAAGACGGAATTATTGCATTAGACGGTTTATTTGCAGTTTCGTTGTTATCGTTATACTGCTTCTGCGCAGTTGCCATAACGAATTCCTTTATTTACAGACTGTTTAAAATGCATGATATATATATATATATTTTAAATTAATTGCGTTCAAATAGACTGGAATCTTCAGATATATCTATTTATTAAAATACAATATAGATTCCTTTTACGATGTTCTGTTTCGCCGACGGAGGCCGTGCAGTATTTTCTTTAATTTATTTCGGCGCACGCACTTCTTTATACAAAGACGAGATTTTAAGGCCGCTTTCGGTATATTAACAATTTCACAATTACCTTTGACTTTGAATAATCATTTTTAGGCTTCTTACTTCTGGTTTACTCTCTTTTCTTCATTATTACCTACTGGATTTTGATTTCTATATCGATATTCTTGAGCGGAACCCGCCGAATTTTGGATTTTCTTAATATTAAGCAAGGAAGATTTATTTGGGGAGGTCCACCGCCATCTTATCAAGTCAAGCACGCCATAGATAAGTTTCTATATTACCGGCTAGGTAAATTCTACACGAAGTTTGTTGACCTGCACTTCTTGGATTGTAATCACAAGTATTAACGAACCGTTTGGAGAACATTACTCGTGTAAATTGTTTCGATATCTCTTTTTTTACACACCACTTTGTTTATTCTGGGTTACACCACAACTACACTTGAAATTTGAAAATTAACGCAAATTAAGTAACTTTAGCCAATTGTAACAGTACACCAGAGATACTCAATGAGATAAGTATTACATACATATATAATTGAATAACAACAAGAGGCTGGATAAAGGTATATTTGGTTGTTTGTCCATATCAGCACATATCAATCTTACGAAACTTTTTGTATTAAAAAAGTCACTTGAAGAGGTGTTTATTATTTATACCACAATCATCAACCATCAACTTTATGTTTTAAAAGATGTTTTTTAAGATGGAATTTAAAATTTGTCTCAAAGTCACAGCGAGCACATTTAAAATCTTTCAAAACTTTATGTTTTAAACGGTGCCGTTTTAAATTGCGTTTCGAATTTGTCCCATAATCACAATCAGCACACTTCAAATCCTTAGAAGCCTTATGTTGTAAAAGATGTTGTTTGAAGGCACTTTTATCATTTGTCGCATAATCACAAGTAGCACATTTAAATTCCTTACAAACTTTATGTGTCAAAAGATGTTGTTTAAGGTTGTGTTTATAATTTGACTCATAATTACAATTACCACATTTAAAATCCTTAGAAACTTTATGTGTTAAAAGATGTTGTTTAAAGTTACTTTTATAATTTGTCTCATAAGCACATTCGGCACATTTAAAATCTTTAGAAACTTGATGCGTTAAAAGATGTCGTTTGAAGAGGTGTATATTACTTGTTCCATAATCACATGAAACACATTTAAAATCCTTCGAAACTTTATGTATTAAAACAAAAATTACTGGTAATTTTACGGTAAAATTACGTTTTTTTAAAAAATGGCAAGTTACATAAATTACATAAAATACCATAAAAAACATAAACAATTGGTAATTTTACACGTAATATTACGCACTTAAAGAAAACGTGTAATTTCACATCACTAGGGGTGCGTAATATATTATAATCTTTTATTTAATTCTCTTCCCGATTATGTCTCACGTCCCAACACATAAAAGAACCGATTACACAACGTAGGAGTTCATTCGTGCCACCCATATAGCCGACTGCCGTCCAAATTCAAAAGTGTCGCGAAATGTCCATCGTTTCGACTTGAAAGGCAGGTGGCTCTGCTTGTAGTTTTTTTCCCAGAGTTGCCAACGGTAAGTATAGGGTAAGTCAACGTTTTCAGTGTCGGCTTGATAGACACCCTAGGATCATTACAGGTTTACACGCCAGAGCAGTACTTATTAAATCTAGCCTGCCGTGCGCTGTCAGGATGTTAAATTGATTCAATTAATTTTATTGATGTCTATTGTTTTTTTTATAAGGGTTGTACTGATCTTAAACCCAACCCCAGGCTCGAAGTGAAGATGACAGATTTCACGGTAAAGTGGCAACGTTGCAATCCCAGTATCAAAACACGGTTCCCGCTCAAATTTCAAACAAAAGAATGGCCCGTGATCGGATCGTCTAAGGTAGGGCTCCCTTACGTTACACGAAGCTAATACAATGACTCGGGACCCAGTCGGGCAGGAACACTCAAATAAAACGGTGTAATGTCTGCGAGTTTATTTATTATAACCTTATTCTGAAAACCCGGGAATTTGGATGTGGTACATTAAAAGCAAAGCAGGCAAAACCTAAAGGTGCCGCACTCTCGCAAAAGCAGACTACCAAAGAGAAAAAGAGCGCGACTTGAGAAAAAACCTTGGCCTTGAATAAAACCCAAACTATGCTAATCACAAGCAAATTAAAACACCAACCACCTAAGCAGAACATGTAACACTACCTTAATTAATGAATGAATTCAAGTAGCAGGGTACGTTTGAACAGTATGCGTAGAGTATTCGTCACAACATGTCATGTACTTTCCTTTAATCGCAGCTAGAAGGCAACTCACTTTTTAGTTAGTCATTGGGTGGTGAACCTGGTTATTCGTTAGGTTTGGGCAGTGGCGGCGCGTAGTGGTGTGTCTTGGGGGTGCACAATTTAAAAATGGGGCCACGGGCAAAAAGCCGGAGGCGAAAATTTTTTGAGTGTCACTGCAACACGAAGTTTTTTGGGCCTATTAAATGGCATAAAAAAGCGTATTGATTTGATTGATTTGAATTTTCTCGATTTGTCGATGGCTGCGGAGAGAAAGTTCCAAAGCACCACAAAATTTTATACGGTCTATAATTTTGGATAAAACATACCTGTTCTTTTTTACTTCCTCATTACGTTTTTCGATACGCAAACGGTATGCACTATTTAACTGCTGCCTTATATCTTGCTTACCTAATAAATTAAATCTCAATTTAGCAGATATATGATGTGCCTTTGAAGAT